CCTCTACTATGGCGACGGGTCATACCTTTGGTTTGATTCCGAGGAGGAGCGCACCCGTTTCCTCACCTTTTTCTCTAAACGGGTTGTGGCTCCCCCACGGATCATCCCGGAGCGCTACCCGGAGCTGCAGGGCTACGACGACCTTGACGCACAGCTTCATCAAGCCGGCCTTTGGCCGTTCGTCTCCCGGGCGCGCAAGGAGATCAACCCGGCGCTGATCCGGGCCTTCTACTCCAACCTCCGGCGTGAGGACGACGTGCTCTACTCGCTTGTCAAGAGCACGCCGATTGAGCTCACCGTGGAGCAGCTTGGGCGCATCGCCGGCCTCCCCTTCCAAGGCGACGATGTGTCTCACTATGGCGGAGAGGACTGGGTGCTCAACAACGAGGGCCTTATCCTCAACGAGCTTGGCATCACCGAGCTCATCCGCCATGCCTCGGGCCGCCCCACCATCCACTCCGCTAACCCCGATGGCCGTCTTCTTCTCTACATCGTCTCCCGGATCATCAAACCCAGGAAGCACGGCCACACCATCATGTCCGGTGAAGATCTCAAGCTCATCCATGCGATCATGCACTCGGCCCCAATCAATTGGGCAAAGTTTGTCATGATCAACATGACGATTGCCGCGTCCACCGACCATGACCACCTCCTCTCGTACCCGTTCGTGGTGATGGACATCCTTGAACGGTTCAAGGTGACCACCACCGTTGGCCCACTCACAAACGCCACGAAGATTTGGGCGGTCAGCACCCAAACCTTCAAGAAGCGGTCGGACAACGCCGGACCTGCCACTGCCGTGCAACGGCGCCGTTCTGTTGCTGGCCCAGCCGAAGCCCAGGCCCGGGCCAACCTTGCCTCCATCGCCGACTCCCTCAACCGGCTTCACTTCAAATTTGACGGGATGGATGGCTACCTTGAGCGGCTCGACGAGGCTGTTCAACGCCAAGGGCACGCCATGAACGCATACTTCCAACGCGTTAACTACGTCCCCCCACCGTACCATGGCACGTTCTTTGGACAAGTGTACGGTGACGAGGACGAAAAGGATGGCTCCTACGCCCCGTCAAGCTCCCCGGACGAGGACGAGTTCGACGACACCGTTGACGGTGATGAGATGGACGTCGACGACGGCGAGGAGGAAACCGAAGACGAAGACTAGGCCGCCCCTAGAATTTCTATCTCTTTTGTTTTAATTATCCTATCTCTTAATGCTTCCGTTCTACTCCGCTATTTCCCATCTTCAATAAATAAAAATAATCTTTTATCTTTTTGTTAATGTCAAAAGGGGGAAGAAAAGGGCTATGCGTATACTAAGGGGGAACGTCTCTATAAACGAGACCGTTTGATTTTAATCCAACTAATTTTTTTAAAAGCACAAATTAAGGGGGAACTTTTTTTTCACAACTTTTGAAAAACAAATATCCCTTAGTATGCATATCCCCGTCTTGTTTTCCATTATCAAAAAGGGGGAAATTGTTGGAACACGGGTTTACGCCTTACGTCGTACTAAACTGTGTTTGATTTTTATTTCAGGTTTTGATAATGCCAAACTGCCGCGACATATCAAAGCTAAAGTGAGCAAAACTAAGGCGAAGGAACATGGCATGATGACTTGAGAACCAAGAACCCAGAATCAAGAACGAAGAACTAAAATCGTATTGAGTCGGTCTTAATGTGATCAAGACCGGCACAAAATTCCAAATCTTGGCTCTCTAGGCTCAATTCATAAAAATCTCTTTTACATGTTCAAAACTATTTTTTCTTAAGTTTAAACTTGGGTCAAAACACTTGAAGTTCGCCCAAGCCAAAAACCAAGCCATCCGGCGTTCGGCATTCAGAAACCGGCATTCGGCTTTTGGTTTTCGGCATTGGTTTTTTGGCGTTCGAACCAACCAAGTGGTTTTCAACTTTTTATGACTGGTTTTTACCTCTGGGCATATTTAATTAGCTCTCCAACAAAAACGCCTCAAAAACCACTCTTCGTTTTTTTGTCGTTTATTAAAAACCATGCGAAACGGCACGAACTTGGTTAGCCGTGGTTTTCAACTAAGGGGCTGTTTGTTTCAGCCTCTTAATGGTTCAGATGTCAGAATGATTCAGCACTTAATGATTCAGACTGTTTGTTTCAGCCTCTTAATGGTTCAGATGTCTGAATGGTTAAGAGATTTGCCTCTGAATGGTTAAGTATTATACAGAGTCTGAATGGTTAAGAGCTGTTATCTGAATTGATCAAACATTTGCCTCTGAATAGTTAAGCAATATACTAGCTCTTAATGGTTCAGACCTCTTACTGGTTCAGCACTTAATGATT